ACTGCAGTTCCTGCTCTGCTGTCCCCAGCTTGGGTTCCTCCAACAAGGCTAATCCCTGAACCAGCTTCCTGAACTTAACCTACCTACTACCACCCTGGCCATCCCCTAGGATCCCTCCCCAGCCACTTCCAATCCTGCAACTCTCTCCAGCCCCAGAACAATCAGCCCCAGCCCTCAAGTACTCTGTACTAGTTACTACCTGCTGCTGTTACCCTATGAGTCAGCTCCCATCTGCTCTGGGACGCCCCAGAAAGCAGACCCAGGCAGCCTCCTCCATGGCCCCTGGTGCTACAGCCTCATTTACTCTGTTCTCCTCTTTCCCCCTATTCTCGGGGGAGCAAAAGACCACAAAGGTAGGGGTCTTGAGCCTCCTTTGGTGCCTCCAGTGTTGCTAGCACTACCTACACATCCTTGGGGACTTGGTGACCCCATTCCTTGGGGGCCCAACCACCCAGCCCTTCCCACCTCCCAATTTTTAGCCAGTTCCTTACTAGCAGCAGGGCTGCAAACTGTTCGCTGTCATTCTTGGCCTCACGGAGGGCTCCCAGGTAGCGCTCCAGGGTGGGGTTTCGGCTCTCTGCCTGGTTCAGAGCTGGCTCGCAATCCGAGGCCATGATGCCCGCCTTGCCCAACTGTGAACACAAGAGGGACTGAGCATCCCTCTGCAGAGGAGGGGCGGGGGTGGGGTGGGGGTGGGGGGAGGATGGAAGGAGGGAGGGATTAGCACAGAGGGAGGGGAGGAGATGAAGGGGTGGGCTCCTCAGGACTGACCTCCCCTGGGAGAGCTTCTCTAGGGGGCTGGACCTGCAAATCCTTAGGGATGAAGAGACCCTGGTCCAAGGTCACCTCCAGAAAGCGGGAAAGAAGGACCATGCATTCTGCTGCTCAGCTGGACAGCTCTCCTCACCAATCTACTAGGGAAGGGAGGGGGCTGGCCCCACTGCTCAGCCATACCCCTGGCACCTGAGGCCAGCTTTTATCTCCCTCTATGGAGGCACAGAAGGAGTGAGTGGTGAGGACAGACAGGGAGGAATGGAGACATACATGGGTGAAGTTCGATTATCCGGACTCAGGCTGATATGGGGGGAAAAGGACATCCTAGGCTTTCTTTCCCCTCCCTTCTTCAGAGGCAGGAGATAAGCTTCAGCAGGAGATAAGAATACAAGGTGCTCATCAGGGAAAGCTTGGAGGCCCCTCTGGGGACCCACCCTCCAGCCAGGACTCTCAGTCGCCCCCGCAGGCTCCTTGCCTCCTCTCCTTTCCCTCCCTCGGGCAGAGGCTGCAGCAGCGGCGGCGGCGGCGGCGGCAGCGGCAGCGGCAGCAGCAGCGGCAGCGGCAGCAGCAGCAGCAGCAGCAGCAGCAGCAGAATTAACCCCTTGAGCTCCCTCTCCTCACCCCCACGTCCCGCTACCAGCCTGTGGATGCCGGCAGGGGTTGGAGAAGCAAGAAGGGGTCCGGGATAGTTCCCAGGACAACGGAGAATCCAAAAGCCGGATAATCGAAGCGGGGCTGCTGAGATGGGGAGATGAGAAGGGGAAGAGGGTTCCTGGCGGTCACCACCTGTCCCGCCGCAGCCAGGTCACAACACGACATTGATTTAGTCACGACAGGGCAGCGATGAGATCACACTTCACGATGGCGCGGTGATGTCACGGAGAGATCACGGCAAAATCACGACATGGGAGACAGCCCCCAAAGATGACAGGGCAAATAAAAAAAAAAAGATATATTGAAAAGGGCTGTGACAAAATGGAGTCTCGACAGGGCACGATGATGTCGCGATATGGCGCGGTGGAGTCGCGATAGGGTCCCCGGGGTGTGTTGGCATCGATCAGCGACGGCTCGGAGAGGCCCTGGCTGGGATGCAGGGAAGGGCCTGAAGGGGGCTGAGCTCACCAGGCTGCGGCCCCGAGCGGCGAAGTCTTCTCTGAGCGCGATGCTCCCGGAGCCTGGGGCCGCTGCTCACGCCGCGTTGCCCACTCCGGGCTCCAGGCTGCTGCAGCTCCACCCCCACCCCCGCACCACTCTCGGCCAATCCGAGGCCGCGTCACTCCGGGCCCTGGCCAATGGCATGTCGGGGCGCTAAGCCGTAGGTGCTGCCGCCGTTGTCGCCATCTTGCTTGTGGGTAGTGCCAGAGTCTGGGGCCTGCGGCCTGGGACTCGTGCAAAGGAGGCGAGGTACAGACTGCCTCTCGAGAGCAGGAGTCGAGAGGTTGGGGCCCCAGATCCCATCGCTTGTGCGTAGTTCTACGCCTCCCGGCGCCGTCCCTCCCTCCCTCCCTCGGGCTCCGGCTGGAATTGCGCTTCCGGGGGGAGGGGCGGAGGGCTTGGTTAGCAAGAAGAGTGTGTTTCCGGTTGATCCCGGGGAGGCGGGAGGAGGCGGTGTTTCCGGCCGCCGTCGCTGTCCAGGGAGGCTGAGGATAGAGGTAGCTGTCCGGGTGGGGAGCCGGCACTGCCTTCTTCCTCTTCCTCCTCCTCCGGGTGAGAGGAGCGAAGGTTGGGGGTCCCTGAGCCCATGGACCAGGAGGAGGCGGAGGCCACCGAGAGTCGGGGCCCCGCTGTGTGGCCCTGAGCCCCGGTAGGTGGCCTGGGGCGGCTGGCTACCAGGCCGAAGACCATGAGCTCAGGGGAGGGACAAGTGGGACGGGCGATGACTGGGAGTGCGCTGGCCGGGTGTCGGGACCCGGAGGTGGCACCCCTGGGCCGGCCGGGCAGCCAGCTGCTTCTGGCCTTGCAGGTGCGCAGCTCGCTCGAGTCCCAGGCTGAACTCCTCTTCTTTCCGGCCTGGGCCTGGTAGTCATGCAGCTCCCTCCATCCCCTGAAAGTCAGACAGACAGATCGGGTTCGGGGCCCTGCCCTCCTTCTACCCTCGACCTCTGCAGCCCCGCCCTTCGCTGCTCTCTGTGGTGTTTGGTCTCCCTACCGAGATAGAAAGTTGATGCAGAATAAGGAGGGGCGGGGTTGGGCACGATGTGTAAATTATGGTGTGAATCCAACCTCGTAGAGGGTCCTGCGGTGGCTGCAGTGAGTGCAGTGAGCACAAAGGTGAAATGAAGGGAGACAAAATATGAAACCTCGGGCGGAATTCCAGGAAAGCTTTGCCTTCTGTCATCTCACGGTGATTGTGCCCAACCGACAGTAGTTGCAGCTAGTGAAGAGCATTAGCTGACTCGCCTTGTGCTTTCTTTGTGATTAACAGACTGAAAACTGGGAACAAATTGGAAAGACGATCTCCCAGAACAATCTGTTCATTTTTTCAGCTATTTGGAAAACAATGTCTGCAAATATAAGCAAAGCTATTCATGGCAGTCTGTTCTGTAACTTTCCCAAATATCAGACTTTTTAAAAAGTGCTTTATTCTTGATTACTCATACCAGCCGAATAGGCTGTTTCAGACGTGCTCCCTGGTTCAAACATATCTTATCACTGTGTACATAAATGGAGTTCCACGTATGTGGCTGACAGACTGAACTATGATACATCCCCCATCAACCTGAAGTATTAAGTAAACATTACCCCCTGCTCTGTCTGAACAGCTGCTGCAACAGAGAGTGCTTTTATTTTGGGTGTACTTGTAACGCCCTAAATGCCAGAACTATTGCGAGCTTTTCTAGATTTTCATTTGTCAAGTATTGTGGGGGTGTGTGTTCTCTCCCTGCATTGTTACCCTTTGATTTGATAACAAACTGTTTGATCTGGATGATGTGTGCTTGTTCTTGCCTTGGGTTAGGGAGTCTTTAACTGGACCCAAGCAGTGATTGTGCCCTTAGGCAATTGTAGGTTTCTAAGGAATGACTGGGAGTTCAAATCAAATGCCTGTCTCTTATGCAGGGTTTGTAAGATTTTACACTACTAATTAGCTTTCTAGTCCAGTGGTGTTTAATACTCCTGTTTTCAAAACCTATTCATTTCTTTTCTGCTTCTCTCACCCACTTGTCAGGCTATTGATGACAGGTGTTGAGTCACCTTGAGTTTTAAATCCTTTTGAGGTAGGCAGCAATGTGTTGGGTAAGATTCATCAATCACACACACACACACACACACACACACACACACACACACACACTCTCTCTCTCACACACTCACTCACACACTCACCCATTCCATCTAGGGAAGCTAGAGAAGTTGCTGGATATACTTTCTAACTTAGGCTCCATTTCATAATCTCTTGATCATGGCTCTGATTCACATACCTCCTTTCTGTCCCCTGCTCTCTCAAATACAACTACAAAACATACAAAACAACTAGAAATAGGAATGGATGGAAGTGAATGAGAAAGATGAAGTCCTTCAGATGCTTATGGCTCAGTGCTTAAGGCTTTTCTTGGGTGGGCTGTACCTCAGTTTTGCAGCTGTGTGTATATCTGTTTCTGTTTCCTGGTCAGTATTGATATTCAACACAGGCAATGCTGATCTCTCTGGATGCTGGCTGTAGGTAGGGTTTATGTGTTGTCAGCCTGTGTCATTTGCCAGATGTGGATAACAGGTGCATATTTTGGACAGAAGATTTTTGAATTGGTTCTTTGGAACTAAATCAACCCTCACGATGTTGCCAAGATTTATATAATATTGTATACAGTATAGCCATGTTGTATAAGAGGGAAGAAACTTATGGAGTACCAGTTTTTCTGCTGGAAGAACCTAAATCATCCAGCCTCAATATTCTAGTGTAGCCAGTACAGTGCCTGATGTAAATACTTGTTGAATGCAAGGATCACGGTTAACGTTGAGGTGAATGAAATTGAAAGACTTTTACGATAATACAGGTAGGTGGGGACAGTACCAAACTGGAGAATACATGCTCTTCTTAAAGACAGTGCATTAAAATTTTTTAAAACACTGGGCCAGATATAACCCTCAGGTTAGTTTTCCTCTGAGGGTCCAGCTTCTTTTCATAGCTAGGAAAGTATGTTTGGGTAAAGTCACAAAGCTATTAGTAGCAGAACTGTAACTGAAATGCAGGTCTTCTTGTTTTTAGGCTGGTGCTCTTTCTGTTCTATTACATCGATGATTAACTGTTAGATTAGAAAAGAATGGAATATAAAGTGTTTTCAGTGGATTTATTTCATATCTCTTGCTATAGGCTATGTCAAAGTTCAGACTTAAAATTTGCGGGCAGGGATGAGCAGTTAAAGGTAAACTTGAAATTTTTCTTCTCCCTAATCTGTCACATTCTGTACCATTCCACATTTCCAGGAATCTATTATTAATTGCTTGGAATATAATTTCTTCTCTTTTTGTCTTTCTAGCATACTGGTTCCGTCTGTTTGGAAGGCCATGGAGAATATGCTGGGAGTCAAGCCAAGTCCTGCTTCCTGGATTTTATCAGGATGTTGTTGGCAGACATCCATGATGTGGTTGAGAAGCCTGTACCTGCTTTATTCTTGCTTTTGCTTCAGTGCTCTGTGGTTGTCAACAGGTACTGTTTTCTTTATAGATTTCAGATTTTAAAAAGGCACTTTGTGTGAGTTTTTCAGTTCATTTTAAGGACTCTCAGAAGGCAGAAAAGAATCTTCTAATTGACAGAAACTGTCGTCCTTTTATTGGATACTTAATTTGTGGGGTTTATTTCCTTATTTTGTTTTGGAACCGAAATTTGAATTGGACTCTTTCTCATAAGAGAGAAAGAATAATTTTGAGACTTGATAAAGGTGTGTAGAAAAGAAAAAGGTTTCAGAGTTGGACCGATCTGGATCCTGGAGCTGAATGTTTCTACTTAATGACTATAAAACACTGGGCAAATTCCTAATATCTTTGCGTAAGGATAAAATCTACCTCATAGTTCAATATGAGGGATAATACAATTAAAGCACGTAGTATAGCACTCTAAACATAGGTGCTTAGTAAATGATACTTTGCTTTCTTTCCTCAGCTCAAGCAGTCCTCCTTTCCTACAGGAATCTTCACTTAGGGGGAGAATGTGTTCCTTGCTTTTTCCATTGAAAAGGTGTAGTGATAGATATCATAGAGTAAGCTTTCCTCCTAGAGATGATTTCACCAGGGTAAAGCCTCTTGCCAGGAATCATTGCCAAGAGGCTAAATTTCAAAGGAGAATACCCTTTCTTTCTGTTATTCATTTTTTTCTAGTTCTTTTGTTGACATTGTTCCTTTCAGAGTATGGAGTGGGAGAAAATAGAAATTTGAGAAAGACTTCTGAGTATGTTGCCATTCTGCTCAGTGCCCGAAAGCCTTCTGCTATAGAGACCACTGTCTGAGATAACTAATCAGCCTTTTGGTCCTATAATTACAAAGATTTCTCTTGCTTTCCTAAAGGAATTGATTGTCATGATCTTGAGACCTGAGTAATTACTGTATTTAACAATTTCAGTAACATTAATTTTTAGGATTTTTTGTTGTCTTGCAATGATAGTTGGTGATTGCATAATTATAGCAGTGAAACTGCACTTGACAGAAAGCTGCACCAAATGTATTTTACCCCAGATGATGCTTTACTGAGACAACTGACTATTTCAGGTCAACATTTTATGTGATTCTCCCATCTCCACCTCCCCAGTAGCTGGGACTACAGGCATGAGCCACCACACCTGGCTAATTTATTTGGCTTGCTTATTTATTTATGTATGTATTTTAAGTCAGGATCTCACTCTGTCACCCAGGCTGGAGTGCAGTGGTATGATCATGGTTCACTGCAGCCTTGACCTCCTTTGCTCAGGCAGTCCTCACACCTCAACCTCCCAAGTAGCTGATACTACAGATGTGTGTCACCAAACCTGGCTCATTTTTTTGTTTTTGTTTTTTTATAGAAATGAGGTCTTGCTATGTTGCCTCAGCTGGTCTTAGAGTCCTCAGCTCAAGCAGTCCTCCTGCCTTGGGCTCCCAAAGTGCTGGGATTACAGGCGTGAGTTGCCATGTCCGACCAACCTGGCTAATTAAAAAAATTTTTTTAGAGACATGGTCTTGCTATGTTGCCCCAGCTAGTCTCAGACTCTTGGCCTCAAGCAATCCTCCCACCTCAGCCTCCCAAGTAGCTGGAATTACAGTCATGAACCGCCCCGCCTGGCATAAATTGCATTATTTGAAGTGCATCTACTACACCAGACTCCTGATTGTAAACATCATATACTTTATTTAATCTGCATGATAACCCTAAAACAGATAGTTTTATTCCCATTTTATGGATAAGGAAATTGAGGCCTAGTGAGGCAAAATGACTTGACCAAGATCACACAAGAACATGACAGAGCCACGATTCTAAACCCAGGCTTGTCCAAGCTAGAGCTCATGCTCTTGCTCTTACGGTACTCTGCCTTCCATCCATAGTTGATCTTGTGGAAGACCATACTTTTTTTTTTTTACCCAGAACCATGATAAACACCTTGTTATTTAAGGGTTTCAAAGCACAGGGGATGAAGTAGCAATTTCAAATCTTTCTATATTTTCCAGTCTAGCACTTTGTTAAATGTAGCATTGTGGGTTCATTGAGTAGGTTTTTAGTATCCCTTAAGCTTAGTGCTTAAAAACAGCACCCAGGTGAGCAGTTTGAGTATAAAAAGGCAAAGTTGCTGTTGTTAGAAGTGGTTCTGGTGGGGATTAGGTTGTATCAGTTTCAATTTAGAAAAGTTTGGAGCTTTAACCATGGAAGTAGAAGATCAAGAACCATTTATGTTCAAACTGAGGGAACGTGCAAGTAACATATCACAGACATATTTGTTATATATTTTGATTTAATTGGAGCTCTTTCATGTCAGGTTTTTTTAAAAAAAATATATCCTAGTAGAAAAAAACGAATAAAGGGCTTAAACAGAAAGTACCATAAATAAGAAATTAAAATGAAAATATTTGAAATGTTTGTTCTCATTACCAACCAAAGAACTGCAGATTCAAATGAGAAATCCTTTTTAATCTGTCATATTGAAGATTAAGGTAAAGCTATCCGGCACTGCCAAGGGGTGATGCGGTTGCTCTCATATAATGCTGTGGAGTTTGAACAGAGAACTTTTGGGCATAAATATCAAGAGCCCTAAAAAAGTTTATATCCTATAACTTAATTTCCCTTCTAAAAATTTATCTCAAAGATACATTTAGATAGTTATGAATGAGAGCACTCATCAACACTCATTTATTGTGTTGCAAAACATTGCTAAAACCTGCTCCACATCAGGAGGGTGGTGAAATTTATGCATATCCACACGGTAGAATATTATTCAATCTTAAAATTGATATTTAAAAGGAAAGGCTTTGTGTGGGGGCACATGCCTGTAGCCTTAACCATTCAGGAAGCTGAGGTGAGAGAGTCTCTTGAGCCCAGGAGTTCAAGTCCAGCCTGGGCAAAATAGTGAGAACTTGTCTCTCAAGAAAAACTTTTTTTTTTTCTTTTTCTTTTTTTGAATCAGAATCTCACTCTGTTGCCCAGGTGATCCATCTGCCTCAGCCTTCCAAGTAGCTGGAAATACAGGTGTATGCCACCATACCCAGCTAGTTTTTTGTTTTATTGTAGAGACAAGGTCTCATCTTGTTGCCCTGGCTGGTCTCAAACCTGTGGGCTCAAGCAATCCTTTTACCTCTGCCTCCCAAAGTGCTGGGATTCCAGGTGTGAACCACTGCACCTGGCTAATTTTTTTAAATTAAAAAAAAAAAAAAAAGAGTATATGGGAAAGTACTCCTAATAGTAAACAATAAAAGCAAGATACACAACTGCATATTCACTATGGTACCAATTTTGTGAGGAGAAAAACATTTACAAATAGAAAACAGTCTGAAACAAGATATGTAACTGTTAAATATATATTTTGAGTAGTGAAATTATTATCCCTTTATACTTTTGTGTGTTTTCCAGCTCTTTTTCCAGTGTATTTGTATACTTTTTTTAATAAGGTGGAAAATAACCTACCAGAAAAATCAACAAAATAATAGCGAAAACCTATTGGTGGTAGTTTGAGTTAGTATTTATCTACTTAGAGTTTATTCAACTTTTGCCTGAGCTCTTAATTCTTTTTCAGATAAAATACATTCTTTTTTTTTTTTTGAGTTGGAGTCTCACTCTGTCGCTCAGACTGGAGTGCAGTGGCACGCTCCCGGCCACTGCAGCCTCGACCTACTGGGCTCTGGCGATCCTTCCTCCTCAGCCTTCCGAGTAGCCGGGACTGCAGGCACGCGCTACCACGCTCGGCTAATTTTTTTGATTTATTGTAGAGATGAGGTCTTGCCAAGTTGCCCAGGTGGGTCTCGAACCCGTGGGCTCAGGTAATTTACTTACCTCAGCCTCCCAAAGCGTGGGATTACAGGCTGAGCCACTGAACCTGGCTAAAAATACATTCTTGATTGTTTGTGGTTGTTATTTAGCTTATAGAGTATATGAATTATTCCTGAAAAAACTGACCAAAATAAGGCAGTTCCAGTTATTCTCCATTCTTGTTTACCATTTAGTAGTTTGCTTCATCTCTGATAGAGCCCTAGGCACCGATTGACTTACACATAGTGGGCTTCTTTTTATTTTATTTTTTTGAGTTGAGGACTCTGTCACTCAGGCTAGAGTGCAGTGGCATGATCACGATGATCATGGCTCACAGCAGTGTCGACCTGGGTCCAGGCGATCCTTCCACCTCAGCATCCTGAGTAGTTGGGACTATAGGCATGCATTACCATGCCCAGCTAATTTTTAAATTTTTTTTTTTTGGAGAGATAAGATTTCACTAAGTTGCCAAGGCTGGTTTCAAACTCCTGGGCTCAAGCAGTCCACCCACCTCGGCCTCCCAAAGTGCTAGGATTACAGGCATGAGCCACCGTGCCTGGCTTGGCTTCTTTTTTATTTCTGTTTTTGAGTTCAGTGCTGAATCTCCACTGTTAGAAAGCACTGATTATAATTTGTTTTATAAAAGATACTTTATGTTTTCCGTGTGGGCTATTGAATCACTGTTTTTCTGTTTAATTTTGCTGTTAAGTAACTTGAAAAATAGCATTTTGAACCTGAAGATTATCATTTGGAGACAAAAGTGACCCCAAGAGTCTGGAAATCCCTACAATATGTTGTCAGCTTCTTGAGAGCAGGGCCCATCTTGCCTTTTTTAGTTATGCTAGATATTCCTATCAAGTAGTAGATGTATAAAATATTTGTTAACTGAATAAATTAATAAATTAGCAATAAGAGAATTACTCTTTGAAAATTACATTTGATTTTCCTTGGAGAAGTAAGAAGAACAAAATAATAAATTTAAAATTAACGCAATCAGAGCAGAGGTATGCTAAAGCACCTTAAGGAAACGCAATACCTTTGAGACCAACAAGATTGACTAAAATCTTAACAAACATGTTAATATATCTAAAGAAAGTGTATGTACATCTGAAGAGTTATGTGTGCATGGTTTGTGTGGGATGCGTGGACTCAACTGGCCCTGGAAACCTAAAACAAGGAGAGTCATTGAAGCTAAGATAGGCCTAGACTTAACAATTGACTATGAA